CTTACGTAAAATTCCCAGATCAATAGCGTTAAACAAAAGTACTAGGCGTCTAGGAATGCTATCGTCAATCCCACTGCAAAGCATGATGTATATGGCACATTATTTATACAACGTGAGAGGTCTATCAACCATGTGGTGGCTGGTAAGAATATCCACAAACCCATTTCATACTATGGGGGGTCGCAAGGGCGACACAGGGAACTAAATCAGGAGATGACAGCAGTTTCCTTTGGTAACTATCAAAATAATAAAAACTGCAGTTGCCAACCCGCATGCCAGGCGTGGCAAATATGGCAAAATCCCCCTTACAATGCAATCTATGATAGGTCTGGTCCAGCATATATTGGCATATATTAGTTACAGATAGAAAATAATTTAAGAGATGCTTCGTAATAACTACTTAGACATTCAGTTATTCAGAACGTAGACTAATTTCATGAAACAGGTCGAGCGAAATCATTTACCATCAGGCGACACAAATACTTCGCGCCAAATTTGGCTGTATTTTGGCAACAGCGCGAATTCTCTTTACATTATGCATGAGTTCCATTGACTGTCGTATTACAGGTCTACTTTAGACGTCTCGTATATTGAGTAACGCCGACAGTGAAAGTTGAGACATAATTAATATATATTTAGCATATACATATTTTGTGTTAATTCCAAACATAATTTGAATTTGAAATTTCGTTGTGAATATAAAATTAGTAGTAAAGGATGTGTTAAATATTAGAGAAAAGAAAAGTTAAAGGATGTAATATTATAATTAAATATTATAATTTTAAATAAGGCCAATTAACAACATTTTCGTGTCGTATATTCAAACAAAATTAGTCTTAGACATTAGAAGAGCCGCTGTAAGAAAGTATATTACTTTATTTTGTCCCGTAAATAGCCAAAATATAGAAGATAAAATCTCAATTTAAGAAGAATACCAAATTTTAACCTAATTTTACACATTAGCATAAAACTTCAGCGTTCGGTGGGGTTTGGGGGGGGGGGGTTTAATCGTTTGATACATAAATTCTGAACTTTGAATCTCTAAGAATTGGGTGGAGGACGTTTGGTTGGGCATGTGACATAGCGGTGCGGTTTGACACACAGGATCTCTGTTTTAAAGTAATCACAAATCCTGAGCATCAATCTAAGGCTTCAAAGGAAAGCCTTCAGTGAGTTGTGTGGCGTAGTTATGTGTTTGATACACAGAATGTCTATTTTAATAAAATCTTAAGTTCATTAGCCTAAGGCTTTAGTGGAGAGTAATCTGTAGGGCGTGTAGCACACTAACGGCTACGACCTAGGACACTGTAATAAAAGAGCACGTACTAGTCATGCACGCAGAATATCCCGACTTTATCAACGTATGTGGTAGAGCCATGCTGCAGTTATATTAGATGTATAGTTGTAGCACGAATGGGTCGGCTCGACCGGGGAAGGACCACGCTCTCATAGAATACCAGCGTGAAATAGTAGCTTAATGCTGCTGTGTTTCGTATGGTGAGTGTAGAGAACCGGAGACCCTTTTTTACTGGAAACGAGGCATTCCATCTTAGTCCTCACGGGTGACAACGCATCTGCATTTTGATTCGTAATTGAGGATAGATGTAGATGTCTATGGGCCACAGCAACCACTTACCATCAGGTGGACTGTGCGCTTGTTTGTTACCCTATCCTATAAAAAAAAAAACGCTCTTCGCTGAGGTTACATCCTTAGACTCACTATGCCAAGAAAAATCGCAAAGCTAGATCCTTGCAAAGCAAAATATTATTCCTTATTCTTTTTTAAGAAATATTTGAATGAATTCCAGCCGCCAAATTTTATCAACACACATCGCGACAAAACTTACGTTACCTTTCACATCACCTAGATGCTTGGTTGCCCAATACTGTGTGGTTTTCTAGGAGTTTACTTCCTCGCACGACTTCTTTGTGGAATCGTATACCACATGCAATTTTTCCAATTTTTCAGATACGACGACGACCTTCAATAAACGAGATTACTCCTTTTTAAAAGGCTGGCAACTCACCTACAATTCCACTAATGTTGCAGTTGTTCATGGTGCTCGTGTGCTCCTCGGTTATAAAAAAGCTGCAAACTGTCGATATGCTGATGTTAAATGGACTGTGCCTCAGTGCACTCAACACTGCAGCGGAACTAAGTATGCGAACAACCAAGTTAAATTGACGGTTAAATGAAATTCGAAAAAACCGCGGAAATGCAAAGACACTAAGTGATTTCTTATCTCACTGCAATGTATACAAAAAATTTTAAATCATTGGGTGATCAAATTAGGTAGTTAGGTAAGAAGGTTTTGAATAAACCGGAAGCAAACGGCGGTGTAAATTTTTTAGTATAACAAGTGTCTGCGACACAGAGTCACTCGTCCTTACCTACGACAACCCAAAATTACCTTTGCGATAACGTCGAATGTAGACTACAAACAGTCATCAAAGACACAACAGCGGAGCGAAATAAAACAGCGTATAATTAGGAGAATTTTCCTGATAACATGACTACATATCCTGTTGCTTCAAGAGATGCGCACTTTAGATCGTACAATACCTACCTTACGTCCGCTCCAAAAGAGCACTAATTAGATCAGAATTACTGCCCTACTAAAAAACTACTTTTTCGTTTTAAATAAAACCAAAGACACTATGCAATAGATAATAGTATCAAAAACAAAGATATGCTCTTTTATTTTAAAACGTAACCTGGAAATGTTTCTTAGAAAAAAAAAAAGAAATCACTCTGAACCATAGACAAATAAATATGTAGCAAGCTACTCTGAACTTTCGGCGTTCCACGTGTCGCTTTGATGAAGGTGCTCCGTCTTTTTTTATAGAATTTTATATTTGTGTTTGGACTAAAAACGAAAGTATTATACTTTTTTATATTCCTTGTAATATAAGTAAACACGTAGATATATAATTTGTGGTATAAAAAGTGAAAAGTAATTTGCCAAAAGTACTTCAAAATCCGGAAGGCCCATTTTGGCACTTGGGTCATAAATGTGTTATTTTTCAAATTCTCATTTATTTTTAGTGTAAAATGTAAGTAAAAATAGTTTTCTTACATATTTCAAATAACTTGACGTTGTATTTATTTCAAATTCACACAAAAATATTTTTGAAATATTGTTCGAAATGTCATACAGATAAAATATTATTATTATTTTTTAATTTTTTTATATTTTAATATTTTGGTATGAGTAACGAATAGAAACACATAAAACATAAAAATATACATATTTCCAAACATTTTCATATAAATTTCTCCAAAAACAAAAGTGTAGAATTCAAATTAGTAGTAATTTTGTCACTAAAATTGAAGTATATACTACTACTATGTTATACAGGGTAATTTATGTATTTTATTACAATTTCTAGCAACCAAAAATAATTTTATTCGATAGTTTATACATTCAACAAGAATTCCTGTAAGTTTTATCCATAAATATTGTCTCAAAGTGAAAATATAGCAAAATTTGCAATATAGCAAAAAATTTTCTAACTTACAAATTTTCCCGCCATTAAGGTCCCGAGCGAACGGGAGTATAACATGTCGCGCGCTGTCAGAGCGTACATAAAATGCAACTGCCAACCCGCTTGCCATGAGTAGAAAATATGGCAAATATTCCCCTATATAGTAATTTATAAAAATATATTATTACGATTTTCTTTTAAAAACAATGACGTTTTCTCAAATAAGTTTTGCTGAACAAACGTTTTCTAGCATCATTCTCCCTTTTTTAATTTAAATAAAAATATTTTTGTAAAGATTGTTTAGTTTTCAGTGTCGCTAAATAGGTGTTTGATTATTTTTTTAATTAAAATAAAACATTGAACGAGCAACAAAGTTTAATTAATAACACTGTGAACATTAATTAAATAAGTTAGTGAACTGACTGGTAGATTATGTTTTTGTAAATAATTACAAATAATATTTTATTTACATTATCCATAATGAAAATAATCGGGTTCCACTACCGTACTTGTAATTTTATTATACAAACATGACAGAGTAAGATATTTGACCAAGCAGCAATTTAATATACGTTCATAATATGTATAAATTGTATTGATGAGCAGTAAACTATATTGGCGAATTTTATAATATTACAAATAATATATAAACAAACATAATAAATGTATACCGATAAACGTTTTATTTACATATGTACATGTCATCTGTTTAAAAATATAATACGATACATGCATATTATATTACATACACGTTAAAACTGATACGTACTGTATTTGCTATCCATTAATCATTAATTAAAATAATAATATAATAATTTAATACTGATACATAAATATATATAAAATGTACATAATATACATAAAATTTTAATATTGTATTAATTATATGATACATAAATATTTCACTAATAATAAAATAATAACTATTCTAGTAAAAAATATTGTTATAATATAATATATTAAAGCAATATCCAAAGACTTATTAATAATAATTATACACAATTTATGAATATTATACTTTATATACGTAAACTATATATACAAAAATATACAATATCATAAATATATTAACTAATCAGTTTAACTCAAATTATGTAAGGTTATAATATTATTATATGATAAATTCATATTACTGCACGTAAGAGTATTGAGGTAGGTACTTTTAAAATAACCTACTAAGAAAATATGGATATATTGTTATGATTATTTTGTTCCTTGTTAATTATTTATAAGTCGTTTGTTTTATTAGCTTTAAAAGGAATATAAAATTTAAATAAATATAAATAGCCTATCTTTCATTCTCTCGATCATTTTTTTCATACTTGTACTTGATTTTACGAACTGTAATTTCAAGGTTATGTCATAAATCTGTTTTTTTTTTAATCTATTAATTTTAATATGATAACACAGGGCTCTATATGTACGTGTGTGTTAAATAAATAGTGCTTTATAATAATTTAGGTTTTATACATTAGTATAGTTTATTATGCTTCTTTGGTGGGTTGATGTGTTGATTACTGGGCATATGCGCTGTATGCTAGGTCGTGGGCGTTGTCAAGGGATCTGAAAAAAAAAGTGTAAAATGTTTAGTACTTTACTCTTTTATATTACAGTTTAATAAACGGTAAAGACGCCTTTGCTTTATTTATATACTACGAACATAATAATATATGTATACTATCGATGATCTTAATAGTTTTTTTAATTTTAATAAAATTGAAGAGATGATTGAACTATCAAGCCAATATTGGGTACTATAGTAATTTGTATCGTTGCATAAAGATCGCCTGCGCTTGGAATCTTGTTACAGGGTCCGCTGTCTTATACTCAAGTACTCCGACCACAAGCAATGCATTCACCAAAATATATAAAACAGTTTAATGTCCTACTGTAGAAAATAAAGTTTATAAATATTTGGCTATAAAGGCTTCTTCTGGTCGTGGAGATTTTTAATTGATATTCATCAATATATGATTTAAAACCAAAAGAGTCGATCAGACAAATATTTAAGGAAATTAATATATTAACTCTGACCTCTCAATATATTCATGAAAAAGTAATGTACGTACACAAAAATAAAAGTAGTTTTGCAAAAATAAGTGATATTCATTCTGTAAGTACTAGGAACAGACACAAGCTAGTAGTACCAATTACTCGACTCCACCGAGTTAGTAATTTATTCTTGGGGCGATGTATAGGTACGCTTTTACAACAAAATCCCAGTAAATGTACAAAATTTGACATACACAAAGTTCAAAAACTTTATTAAACTAAGTTTGTATTAAAAGGGTTTTTATAATATTAAGTATTTTAAGATTATAAACAATACTTATTGAAACGTGATTTTCAATAAGTATTGTTTATAATCTATATTGAATAAAAAAGTTTCTGTTTCTGTTTCAAATTCAGTTTAGTTAAATATCATGATTTTTTGACTTGATAATATTTCACACTTTCTTTTGAGAAGTATATTTAATTTGGAATAACAGTTCACTTCTAACGAATAAGCTTAAACCTATGACTTGACATTTATATAGCCATTGTGTAAATGTAACAGGTATTTTTACCTTCCCGTTAAAAAAATCTAAATTTTCAAAAATCAGGAAGTTATTATTTTTACCCTGTTTTTGAAAAATGATTCATCAAATCTTGATGTTTGAAGTCACAGGAAGGCACCCTGACAATTTATCGATGGTGTCTGTATGTCTGTATGTATGTATGTGTTTGTGTGTGGATGTATGTAAACCTCTTATAACTTTTGAACGCCTTGATCGATTGCAATTTGAGATGAACTAAGCGGATTACCAAAGTGTTTCATCAAACTTAAATTTCCTATGAATTTTAACTAATCGGACCGGTAGATATTGGGAAAACTCAAAAATAACATTTTGAAAAACCGTTTTTTTTTTTGGAATAACTTTTAAACGGCTTTAGTCGTTGAAAAACTACGTCGTTCCCCGCCGGTCCGGTCAAAATCGGTCGATTCGTTCGGAGTTCGTAAGGAAAAATTTTGAAAAAGCTGATTTTTTATTAAATTACTCCGATATATAAAAACATTCAACAAAAATTATATAAGTTAAATTTGGAGCGCTTTGAAATTTTCTTTTTTTTAAATTTGAAATTAACGGGAAGTTCTAGGGATGGCCTGCAGGGTCAACCATTTTTTTAGTTGTATAATTTTTTTATTTACCACATTATTTTATGATATTCTTGCAATCATCCGAATTTGAGCTACTTTTAAAATTTCAAGCTTCCAGCTCATCGGGAAATCAGTTTAAAATAAATTACTAAATTCCACCTGGAAAGATAGACAGACAGACAAACGAACAAGAAAGTGACTTAATAAAAACGAGGCATAAAGGTACAGTAGTCTATTATTTTGTTGGAGCGTGACGTCTGATTCCTGACTCCGATGCATTATATCTTCTTTTAAACTAATTGTGAGATTTTGAAGAAACTAACACGAATATTTTAAGTAGTTTGAACAGTGCATAGTACATTTTCTGGTCTCTAACAATTTTCATTGATAAAAATAAATATACAACTGTCACCTAAATGTCGAAAGAATAAGTCCCCAAGTTAAAGATATAACGCTTGGCGCATATTTAACTTGGGGACTTATTCTATCGACTACTGAAACTAAAATATGTGTCGTGCTAATATCTTAAAATTTGAATTTTCTTACGTAATTTTATTTACTATTTTGCTTTTGTTTTTTCATCACTTTTTTTACTTATATTTTACTTTAAGATTCATTAATAATAAGATGTGTCTATTGTAAACGATGATAAATTTTTAATTATTTTAGACTTTGAAGTTTAATTATATATGATATAATTAAACTTCAAAGTGTATATTTCTTATCACTTATCTTGCTAAAACTCGAAAATGATTTGTGCTCGTTTGGTCTGTCGTGGAGATCCGAAAATCACTCATGTAAAGCCGCGGCTGGTCGCAAGTACTTAATATTTTATTATAGTTTACATTTAGTATATATTTACATTTTATTATAGTCCTTTGTCTACCTACATCTCTCTATCCACATTTCTCAGGTAGCCTTCGAAGTTTAAAGTTTTGAAGTGTTGCAGTGTTCTCTTACCATCAAGTGGATTGTTAAATCATTTTCGCAAACAAAAACTAACAGCCTAAAAATTATGCTTGACTTTGTGGCACTGCAATCCTCACTATTCTGTCAAGATTTTGATGCAGGAAAGAATTCGCTGCGATGTCACAATACGTGTAACTGGTTATTTTTTTTTTAAATTTACGTATTAGGGCCATGCTGCTGCAGGATGAATGACTCAGGCTCGACTGGAGAAGGACTACACTTCCACAGAATATCACCGTGCAATAGTTGCGGAATTATGAGTGTTTCATATGGTGAGTACACAGAGCCAAAGATCCTTTCTACTGATAAAAAGGCGTTCCATCCTATTCCTCAATAGCGATAGCACAGCTGCGTTTTGATTATTAACCGAGAATAAACATAGTAGTAATAGAAGTACAGTCGAATCTCGTTAATTCAAACCTGCGATAATTCAAATCTCTCTATAATTCAAAGTTATCATGAGTTCCTTCAAAATCTCTTTATATTTCGAACTAAGCCTATACATTTTTATGTACTTGGTAATTCGTACGAAAAAATCAATGCTACGTAACAAAACAACGCGTTAATTCGAAGTCATCGGCGTCAAACACTCGACAATTCAAAGTTGCAGAGAGAAGACATTCTATCGCAAAGAAATTGTTAAGCTCGTTTTAGCTAACTGCGAATATCACGGTTCTGACAGCTATTTTACTGATTGACAAGACATCGAAAGCTATAACACCCCTAAGGATTCTCAACTGATTCAAAAAACTAGTTGACATCAGCGGTGTGAGTGTTTCTGACTTCGTTCAAGCGGATGAAGATGTTGCTGTCTCAGGTTCACTAACCGATGGCGAATTTTTATATTTTAAGAGTCCCTAGAGTTTCGAATTAACGAGAGTCGGCTGTATATAGACCACAGCATTAATTTACCATCGGGTATCGTTTCCTCGTTTACCACCCTTATTCCTATATAATAAATAACCAATCGCATAAGACAAGTTTTCTTATGTCAATCCAATGCCTAGAGTTTTTTCTTTAGGATCCCTGGTGTAAGAAAGAACTTTCGAACTACATCATAACAAGGAATTCAATTTAGATTACTACAAAATACTTTTTGAAATACAATACAAGTCTTATTACCGACTCCATCCAGGGCCACCGTGTCCAGCAGATACGACGACTTCGTGGGCTTCACTTCCGCTACTAGACGACAGCAGTTTCTTCAGACCAATAATACCAGCAAGCACCAGAGCGAGCTTAGAGACGATTAAAGCTTTTCCAGCCAATAATGCTAGTGCTCCAAACGCAAGAGGCACCATCATTCCACCGATGAGCAGGGGAATTGCCAAGAGGGGAGCGAGCTTCTTCCTCTTGGCTCGACCTTCCTCCGACGCCCCTTGCAAGTCCGAACCAGACGGGAATTTGATCTGAAAAATAAATATTATTTATTTAAGCTACATACAAAAACATGATGCACACCGGTGGACTTAAATCTTGAGTATTTCTCTACCAGTATCAGACAAATAATGAAAACTAGATGGAGTGCTGCGTACGTTTCAAATGATGCCGTGACACGCATACACACATCTTTCTCCTCTCTTTCTTTAACAGCCCATAAAAGTCCACTACTGGACCCACACATGTGAACCTTTTTTATAGAATAAGGGTGACAAACGAGCACCCAGTCCAGTACGGACAGTAAATAGATGCTGTGGCCAATAGACATATGCATTTACCTTCGATCTAAAAATCGAGACGCGTATGCGTTGTCACCCCTGAGGACTAAGATGAAATGCCTCGTTTCAAGTAAAAAAGAGTCTCGGGATCTACACTCACTATATGGAACACAGGAGCATTGAGCTGCTATTTTTCGCTGGTGTTCTGTGAGAGCGTGGTCCTTACCCGGTCACCATAGACGGGTTACCAGGAAAATTATGCTACCATCTTCTGTTTTTGTTACTAACGAGTTATTTAGATATAAAAGGTTATCTGGTTACACAATGGCAATTATAAAAAATTTAATTGACAAAATGATAAAAACTACATGATAATGATTTAATGCCAGCAATACTGTCACTTGTATTCACTTTAAACAATCCTGATAAACTTAAAATGCTTGTGTTGGGAGTGATTAGCGACATTAGTCGGATAGGGGATTCGAAACCATGACCTTTGAGTTCACGGTACCAACCTGCCATGAGGCTTACTGTCGCTTATAAAATATCGTGTTGTAATAGAATAGTACACGATAAAAACAGTAGTAGATTTGAAAAGTTTAAAAAATTAAATTTAAAGAAATTTTGAGAAACTAATTTTATTTTCTAACGTTGATGCAATTTATATTGATTACACGTAAGCATCTGGGAGTACCAGACCGAATTTCGGTCACGGCGACGGGCCTCAACGGAGACTAGCCATCGGCGCAGGACAGGATAATACTGCCGAAGTGTATCCGCAAGCACGGGTGCACACTCTATTCCCTCACTTTCATCTCTCTATTTCTTTATATTCACAGAGAGATAGAGAGAGAAAGAGAGCGAGAGAATGTGTGACACCGTCAACTTCGTGACTCCGGGCAGCTACTGAGAATTTCTTGAAGGAAAAACTCAATAATTGTTTTTGGGCCCGACCCGGAATTCAAACCCAGGACCTCATGTTCAGCAGTCGCAATACTTCAATCACTAGACCAACGAGGCAGTCAATGGAATGGGAGCACCATCGCAGGTTCGAAGCATCTACAACGTACAACGATCGCCAATCCGCCAGCCAAGCGCTACATTTAAGACAAATCCTCCCCACAGTAAGAAATGCTAATGTCCTGCAGAGAATCTTTTAAGGCATATGATGAAACGACGAACAAACAAGACCTATGACAATAGACATGCCCCATATATTACCTCATAGGGGAACTATATGTCGTGATTGCCTTGAAGACTGAAGACAACCCGCTTGGGGTTGGTAGCCTGCTATGGAGCTTGATGCCCGTTGAGGGTATGATCCTTAACTCCGAACGTTGTTGTTCTCGAAATTTTCCCTCTTTTTATTTAGGTGTAATGAAATATTTACGAAAGGATTTTTAAAAGTATACATATATACTATAAATTTAAAAAAAACTCTTACTGTTTATTTGAAACTGAGAGTTTAATAAATTTATTAAACTCTCAGTTTTTGACATGTTTTTTTTTATTCGCCATTCGTAAAAATATATTTTTATTAAAAACCTACAAATACATAATAGTTATGTCAAATCTTGATCATAAATTGGGCAAATTTCAGTGGGTCAACTCGGGTCCAATCCCCGCCGGCACCAATGAAATTGTTAATTTAAATTTTAAGTACTGACTTACCATGTGCTCTGTGGTGAATGAAAACATGGTGAGGAAATCAACATGCATTGGTGCAGCACGGCGGAAGCTTTGTTTCCCTAAAACCCTGTCAGAAGGGGTTTCCCTAGTTAGGAGGCCTGTGCTTAGCAGTGGGACGTATATAGACTGTTACTTTACTTACTTTTACTATATTTAAAGCCTATTTATCTATCTCCTTAAAATAATTAACAGTTATTATCATTATTTGTCCGTTATCAATAGAAAACAGAAAAAACAAACATGAATGCATTAACATGTCTTAACCAATTAGCGAAAGAAACGGTTGTTAACGTGGCGAAGTAGGCCGGCGCAAGAACTATTTAATAGAGTGTGGCAGTGTAAAAGAAGATGAATTAATAGCATTTAATTAAAAAGATCCGAGAAAGCGGTCACGGTGCGTCGATTTGTGGCATGTCGTGAATTTTTTTCAAAAGCGCTTTCGTGTTGGAATTGATTTCGTATGATTTATTAACCGTTTAAATGCGAATTATTTGGTTTTCCTTTGGCGGTGCGTGCAAAATCAGCATACATAAGAATATATTAGGTATCTTTATACTAAATTAGCTATTATATGTCTGATGTAATACTTAAACTTTTAATAAAAAGTACAAACCAACATAAAAACTAAAAAACGCAATAACTTAACACCATTTGAAATCGGTGCTAAGTCATAGTGAACCAAATAAATAAAATATCAATTTTAAAATTTGTGTGTTTATTTTTTTTTATTAAAGAATATGACAATTTCAAGGTAACAACAAAAATGTTCTCCTAAATAGTTATATTTAAATATTAATCCCCTATTTTCTACCCTTAGGGATGGACCTATTATTTAAAAATAATCAAATGAATCAAATCAGCTTGTTTCAGTAAATCGCTGAAAATTCTCATAAAAAAATAACCATACGCGTTGTACTTGTCTCTTGACATCGATTAAAAAGTATTTTATAATATATCTCATTAACGAAATAATTGACTCCTATGGCAAATATCATTAGAATATGACCATCCATACATACTTAAATATTGAAAATATTAGTAAGATTCTTTTAATGATTTAAATTAAGCAGAAAACTATATTAATAATAGTTTTCTATGTAAGCTATATTTACTTTAAGAATGGGCATAGTGCATCCAATAAATTTTTATTAGTTTGTAAGTTATGGGATTACATTCTAATTTGGTAACATTATTGAAATTAAAACTTTTTCATAATTGTATACCATTCATAATAAATGACCATATTATAATTGCTTTCATCACAATTTTTTTATTTCAAATTAACTATAATTTTAAGCCAACTTAAAAAAAATGTGAACGATAACATAATGATTTCTTAAATTTACGCGAACACTACACATTGAATAAAACTAATTTTTACGGATTCTATCGCGTTTATTTAACTATTAATAAAAATAATATTATTATTATTATCGTTCGCTGTAACTAAATATAGAGTAGGCGAGCAACCTGGGTTCTGTCCCCGTCGGCACCAATAAAATTGTTGATTACAATTTTAAGTGCTGATTTACTACGTGCTCTACGGTAAAGGAAACATGGTGAATAAATATGCTTGTCTTAGAAATTAAAAAAAAATTCGAAGGCATGTGTAGTCCACCAACCGCATTGGGGCAGCTCGGCGGACTTTTTCTAGCCCTAAAACTTTCTCAGAAATGAGAGGAGGCCTTTGCCCGGGAGTGGGTCGTAGTAGGCTGTAACTTTTATAATTCAGAGGTGGCTACGTAAATATGGAAAAAATCTACCCGTTAAGGTAAGGCCGCACTAGGCGGAACTGCACCGCAGCGGAACTGAGCGACACGACGCGTCAAAATATTCTTTATATGAAATTATATGAGACAACACGCACTAAGCGGCAACGGAACTACACTGCAGCAGAACTGCGCGGCAAAGTTGATCAACCTTCACCTTCTTCATATCGCGAGTTTGATATGTCATGTAGCCATATTCTTTGCTTTTTTTCTGCCTGTTCTTTCTCGATCCTTTCCTCTTCCTCCACAACAAGGAAATAATAATCATATCCATTACGTCGTTCATCTTTCTTAGAGGTTGCCTAGTTACTGAATATATTTTTATAGCGCCACTGTATTTCAAGTGTGGTTTACCAAAAAAATAAACGCGTCGTGCCGCTCAGTTCCGCTGCGGTACAGTTCCGCCTAGTGCGGTCCTACGTTAAAGGTGGTTCCGCACTAGGAGGAACTGTGTGACTAAGTAAAAGAAGAAGTTTGTAATGTAACAAAATCGGTTAAAATATTAACTTATAAATGACAACATGGTCGCATAGATGGTTGTATGATACGATAACTTTTCAGTTGGGTGCGTTTGGCAGAAAAAAGCGCTAGCAAGCGCTTGTAAGCAAAATGGCGATCGTAAGCGGTAAGCGCTGTCAAATCGTAAGTAGCTATTTTCCTCTAGGACACCAAGTCAGTTTTAACCGGGGAGCCTAACCTAATTTAAATATATGTTTGTAAAGTATTCATATTAAAAACTTACCAATCATAAATTTTTAATAACATCTATATGTCTATTCATGTCATTATATTACTTAAAACTAATATTGCACAAAAAAACTTATAAACTCTACTTCAAAACAAACAATTAAATAAGCAAAATGGTGGATTGTGTCAGCGCTACTGAAGTAGCAATCGTGTCCTGGCCGAAAATTATTTCAGCGCTACTATTTCAGTCAATCAAAAAATAAATGATCAAAGGGGCCCTTTAACGACGTAATTTTTACAGTTGACGTTATAGTAAATATTTAAGTCGATTTTGGTAATGTGTAGGGTAGTTAGGTTTTTTAAGTTGATTTTCCGAAGTGTTCCTAATTATAGCCAAGCTTGTTTGCTATTTTGTTCTTAACATATTAGTTATAGTATAAGATGTAGTGTTTTTCTCCCTGCCCTAATAGTTTTGGTTTTATAGGGCGGCAAAGCTTAGGGCCTATATTACCCTCATGTTACTTATTAAAATATAAAAGTGAGCTCCAAACTATTGAAATGAATAAAGTATTTTCACTGTCTGAAATTGTGGCTTTAATTTTCCAA